CCGGCGAGCCTGTGGCACAGGCGGGAGCTCCCCGGTGCTGGCTGGCGATAGGCAAACCCCTTAACTACGCCTGACCAGTCTCCCCGGGCCCCCCGGGAATCGCTTGGGCTGCAGGAATCCTTGCAGGGTCCCCGCAAGCCCGGGCTCAGGAGGTAGCCGCCCTCTGTCTGCAGGGCCCCTCCCGTCGTCGCTGGCCTTTGAATTCTTACGGGTTGGGACACGGTCATCCTGCGTCTCAGTCCCAGGGTAGGACTGAAACGATCGAGGGATATTTCCGGGCCAAACTGAGCCCGTGCCATCCAGATTTTACAACTTAGACACAAACACACGCAGACATATGTTCACCGCGCAGAGGAAGGAACCGGGGAGATCGGTTTTAGATTCGAAGTTTAACGGGCCCACCTCTGCCTCGCGCCTGCATATTGCGGAGTCACAAGCAGCACGTGTGCCACTAATTATGCTGGGTTTTGGGGTGCGTGGTGTTTTTTTTCATTTATTAATTGCAAGGCTGCATGTCATAAAAGGCAAGACCCTGAGCCTTGGAGTTAGAACTGGAACCGAAGGCCAGCCGCCTCTTCCGAGAGTCACGCCGGCCTGGCCAGCGCCGGGGCCTCCGCAAACCGTAGCTCCCGTTTGTGAAAGGCGACGCTAACACGAGCACCCGCTTCGCAGGACGGGTTATATGATAGGTGGGAGGACACTCGTAAAAGCCTTAGCACGGCGTCTGGTCCACGCGAGGTTCTAATGACTGTTTCTGTGATTATAATCGTACACGTGCATTGAAACGCTCTTCATTCCTACGGCTCCGTCGTATCCTAGGAAATGCATCGACGGTGCTCGTTCTTTTCATTACCGCTAGGAATGTGGGTTGTTTAAATTTACTTGGGGATACGTGCCTCCTCGCTATAAATAGCTACGCGTTAAATATTGTTTTCTGCTGAGTTTATCTCCCTGCGGGATGTTCAAGCTGGACGCGCGGGACGCAAGGGGAGGTTCTTGGGGACCCTCTCGCAGGTTGCTCAAGGCCTCCCCAGAGTTAAGGAAACCGATTTGCAGGGACATGTCTGACACTGTCGGACCTCCTCCCTCATAGACACACTAACTGGGGTTTGCATTACTTTAATTTGCTTTTTCTGGAAAAATCAGCATAAAATCCGACTCAAAATATTCGACTTTGCCTTTCTGTGACTGCTCCGAATTCAGTTGGGTGTCTGGGAAATCTCTGTGCCTCCTTCACAATTTTCCTGTGAACCTAACACTTCTCTAAAAAATAAAGTCTATTCAGAGGGGGGGAAAAAGTGTTTAGAAAGAATCTGCAAAGAACTATCATTGTGATTAAAGGGATTAAATAATCTGTTTTTTCATAGGTGAAAAAATAATCTAATTTCATCCAAAGGTTGACAATGGTTCTCAATAGGCGCTGGGGTTGTAGGTGATTAAAGACAGGGCTGGGGGGAGGAACCTTTTTTTTCATGTATTTTTTCACCCAGAAAGACAAAACTACTTTCATTTATTTATTTACTTAGAGGGAGGGGAAGGGAGAGGGGGAGAGAGAGGAACATCTGTGTGAGAGCGAACACCACCGACTGCCTCCCGCACGGCCCCTACCAGGGACCGAGCCGGAAACCGGGGCAAGCGCCCTGGTCGGGACTCGAACCCACAACCTTTCTGTGCATGCCACAATGCCCAACCCACCAAGCCACAGGCCGGCCAGGGCAAAACTGTACTTTTAAAAAAAAAAAAAAATCGTGTATCTTTTTTATGATTAAAAATATAGTTATGTTTTCTGAAGCCTTCGAAATGTTTTTATTTTTTGTGTGTTGACGTGGCAAACTCAGGAGAGGCCTCGGCTCGCTCGCCCTGACGCTAAGGAAAGCCCTGGTCCACGAATCGGGGGGCATGAAGACGGCGCGGGGCTCCTGCTGGGAACCCCCCGGTCTCTCCTGTTCCTAATGGCGGGGCACACGGCGGAGACGGGGGGCTCCGCGGAGGAGACGAAGGGGCGCTGAAGGGGCATGAACAGCGGCCGCCTCGGCCAAACGCTTAAATGACTTTGCAAAAGACCTGTCAGGGCGGATCCACGGCGCCTCCTGAAGAAACGGCTTAGAATTCCTGCCGCGCACTCGCAGCTCTGTCGGGGGTGAGACGGGGGGATGAGGGGGGCCAGAGAGGAACGCGGGGAAGATCAAAAGGCACCGTGATGGACCTGAAGACATTTCTTAAATGAGCAGCGGGGAAGGAGAGACCAGTAAGAGAAAAACCGAAACGAGGCCTGTGTGTGCTTCGCGTTTCGCTCCCGCCGCCGGGCAAGCAGCCCCCCATCGGCGCTCTCCCTGGCTCTCGAAAAACCAGTGAGCGGCTCTGTGGATGGTGACCCCAATCGAATTGTTTTTACGGTAAATGAGGCGTGAAACCTACTGTCAGAAAGACGATGTCCAGAGCGCCCGGCCGCACTCTGTCTTCCCCGCAGATCGCTCCCAGGGGTCAACACCGAGAGGCTCAAAAAACCACGGCCTTGCACTCCTTCAAGGCAGACTTTTAGGTAAGAGGTTCCTTTTCTCCTGAGCAACAGGAGACTCTTTCTAAAGCATTTAACTGTGTTATACAGAAGGACGGCAACACCCCAAGGAAGGGGCAGGAGGGAAGAAGTTGGCGAAAGTCTTTAAATCAAGTACCAGGAGAGTTATGTTAGCAAACATTGGTTACGCCCTTTGTATTATCCTAAGAACCCTGTTGGTAACAAAATCCCCAGGATTTGCTCTGCCGATTTAAAAAAAAAAAATGTATTGACTTCAGAAGGGAGAGGGAGGGAGAGAGAAACGTCAATGATGAGTCATTGATCAGCCGCCTCCTGCTCGCCCCCTGCTGGGGGTCGAGGAGCCTGCACCCCGGGCCTGGGCCCTGACCGGGAATCGAACCGCGATCTCCTGGATCCTCGGTCGACGCTCCACCGCTGAGCCGGGCCGGCCGGGCTCTGCCGATTGTTATATCTCATGACTTGGCCCCTCCATTCACTAACTAATCCAAGGGTACTCGATCAGCCTGTGGCCGCTTTCGAACCAATAGGTTTCATTTTATTAAGTGCCCCTCTGACATCCCTGAACGTACAGGGCGAGACGAAAGTAGGTTTACAGCCGCTCATATGGAAAATAACACGATAATTAATAAATAATAATATAAGGACAAACTCTGTGTTTCGCGTACTCGCCACTGTAAACCTACTTTTGCCCCACCCTGCCCCCTTAGTGGCTAAAATCTTTTCTGGGTCAAGCCACGTTCGGGGTGATTTTCCTCCCAGCCACGGGGTTTTCGGGTCCCTCGGGCAGGAACCGCCATCTGTGTTGGTCACCAGCCTCGATGAACAGAAAAATCATGATGATACAAACGCCCGGGGGAGCGAGGCCGTGTCCTCCAAACTCCACGCCTCCCACGTTCAATTCAGATCCATTCGAACACACGTATTAGCCTCACCCTGAGCGGAGGGGTCCTGCCAGCCTGAGGGGACCCCAGGCTTCGGTCTCCGGGGGCCGGTTCCACCTGAACACTGAACAGTCGGCTGAGCAGGACGCTGAGAAAGGCCGGGAGCACCGCGCTCTTTCGGGGACCCCCACAGCAGCTGCTGCCTCTGGGGCCTGACCCCGAATCCTTTAGACTCGAATTAGAAAAGGCACTTCTTTGACGGATCCCTTCTTGTTGCAGTTTACAGGCAACTAACCCTCACGGCATCGGATCCAACAGGCGGGAATAATCAATTCCGGGGAGGCGGGCACTGCCAGGCCCGCTCCGTCTCCCCTCGCAATGAGCAGCGCAGAGCGAGGGGCGGGGGGACAGGGAAGGAACCGGGAGAGAGGGCCCGGGCCTGCCTGCGCCCAAGATAGCCGAGCAGAGGCGCAGATGGAAAGACAAGCTGAAGTGTACACCCTGGCAGGCCGAGGCCCTCGTTTGCTGTCAGGGGGAGAGGCTCAGGCGCGAGGGTGCCAAACGTGCCCAAGCCCGGGGGCGGGCTCTGCGGGCGGGGGGGACAGCGGGCCCGAGGGGGTGGCTGCGATGTCTGAACCAAAGGCGCCGGAGGCAGCCACCCCAGGGGGGAGAGACGTCGGCACTTGCTCAAGTTTCCGCGGGCTCTGATCTACGGCGCAGCGTGGCGAGCCAGTTAATTACCGCGCGCGGGTAATTAAGTCTCCGAGAAACCAGTGCCCTCCGAGGCCGCGTTCATTTACGCCGCTGGATCGTTCCGGGCTTGACTGGCGACTGGGTTGAGGGGTCTCCCCAGAGGAGGGAAATGAATGAAAAGGATCCGGAAGTAAGATGGCCCCGGCTTTCTCTCCGGCCGGGGTCCCCCCCATCCAGCAGCAGGCACCGCCTCCCCCGGCGGCCAACGTCCCAGCCTGGAGCTCTCTGCCGTCCCCGGTCCTTGCTTCTCTCACTCGGCCTTGCATTCATCCCTCCCCGCCCCGTGCGCCTGTTTAGGTCAAGTCTAAAATACCCGTCTACAGTAAAGAGAATCAGGACGGCCCCCCTCCCGGCCCGCTGACCCTCGCGCCCTCGGGGGTCCCGCTCGCCCCGCCGCGGCGCAGTCAGGCTCCCGGCCACCGTCTTCCTCGCCTTCCCTCGGCTGCTCTCCTGCTCGGAGGGGCGACGGAAACGCTTCTTGTCTCCAAGCGCCTGGATCCTGGCAATCACACTGCCCCCCTCCCCTTTTTTTTGTGCTAAGTAATTTATGGCTCCAAAATGTACATAGAAAAACACACCTGGCAAACACAAGCATGTGTGACGCCAAGCAAACTGCATGCGCAAAATTTATAAATACCAACAGCTTCCCGTTTGCCCTGCTGGGTCCATGTGCACAGCACCCCCCCCCC